CTGCCTGCTCCTACTCCTTACACTGAGCAGACAGACTCCCTAACAGAGCATCGTGAGCCTCAGTCTCGTCCTGCCTCGCCAGTTCGCGTTGTTTGTCGTGATTGTCGCGTTCTTCCTCCACCATTCTTTGGCACGCATAATATGGCACTTCGTCCTTCCTCTGTTCCTCAGTGTGTTGTCTTGCTGTCTCCTCTAGCTTCCTCTCTTCCTGACGTTCCTGACCCTGAGTATGACCGTGTTCGTGCCACTAATCCTACTGTCACGCGACTCCTGGCCATACTTGTCACTAACCCTTCCTTCAAATCTACTGATGCATCTGCCTTAGTCACTGAGCTCGTTCACTTTGCTGCTACCTGTTGTCTTGACTAGTTCGCGAGTCTTATTAGTCTGGGTCTGACTGTCCTCCGTCCGTCGGGGGTGAGCTTTCCCTTGGCTGTGACGTCCTTGGGGACAGGCAGTTTGAGCTTGAGCGCCTTGCATCCGCTTTACCTCGTCTCGCGTCCATGCTGCTTGCACCTGAGGGAGACCCGGATGCACTTGACATCGCTACCCCGTGCTCTTATGCAGAGGCGATTACGGGTGGATACTCCTCTTAGTGGCAGACAGCCATGGGCGCAGAGATAGCTTCTTGGAAGTCCATAGGCACCTACGTTGACGAGGTTCCCCCTCTTAGGGCGAACATAGTCAATGGCATGTGGATTTTTAGAGTGAAGCGGCCGCCGGGGTCTCTGCCTGCCTTCAAGGTGCGTTACGTTGCACGAGACTTCAGTCAGCGTCAGGGTGTCGACTTCTTCCATACCTTTTCTTCCACCTCAAAGATGACCACTCTTCGAGTGTTACTGCACGTTGTGGCACAGTGTGACTACAAGCTCCACTTGCTTGACTTCAGCACAGCTTTCTTGCAAGGCAGCCTTCACGAGAAGACCTGGCTGCGCCCCCCACCTGGCTTCATCGAGTCGTTTCCTGAGGGTACCTAGTGGAGCCTTCGGCGACCAGTCTATGGTCTCCGCCAAGCGCCTAGCGAGTAGTATGACACACTGAGGACTACACTTGCGACTCTTGGATTCGCTCCTTCTACTGCTGACCCGTCACTGTTTCTTCGTACCGACGCATCTTTGTTGCCATTCTACATCCTCATCATGTACGTAAACAACTTGGTTTTTGCTACTGCTGACACAAAGCCCCTGGCCCTTGTGAAGGCAGAGGTGCAAAAGAGACACACTTGCACTGGCCTGGGTGAGCTATGTAGCTGTCTTGGCTTGCAGATGACCCAGGACAGAGCACGGCGCACCATCACATTGACTCAGTCACACAAGGTACACCAGGTCCTCCAGCTCTTCACCTATGAGTTCTCCTCGCCACTATGCACTCCTCTGCCTACGAGCCACTGGCTCTTAGGTCCACCTTCGGACGGGTCCGTAGAGCCGAGTGGCCCGTATCTAGAGCTTGTGGGCTGCCTCATGTACCTGATGACGTGCACACGACCTGACCTCATGTACCCTCTCAGCATCCTTGATTCGTTGCGCCTGGGAGACACAGGAAGGAGCACTGCGTTACTTGTGCAGTACATCAGGCATGGGGCTTGCGCTTGGAGGACGAGGTTACAGGGTTACACTTTCAGTCTTGACGCTGGTTCTGTCTTCTAGAGGTCAACCTGCTCGTCTTCTGTACTTAGTTCCAGTTGTGAGTCAGAGATCTACGATGGGGCTATGGCTGCAAAGGAGTTATGCTGGCTGACTTACTTGCTAACTGACTTGGGTGAGCGGCCTCGTTCTCCTCCAGTTCTTTATGTCAGAATATTATATTTCTCTAGTCTGCAGTGGGGTACTCTATAGTGAGTACAGCCGTGTTAGGGTTTGCTATATGTACTCAACCGCCTGCTAGTGAAAACCCTCTCTCTTCTTCCATTTCTCTTTCGTGCACCCTAGCTATGGCTACTAAGTTCTAGCTAGGATTTTGACATGGTATCAGAGCGAGTACGCTCTTGGCCTGTGGGCCCACTTGCTTCCGCTGCTGTCCTGTCTGTCGCTCGCCCCGTGGCGTGCGACGGTTTTTCTTCCCGCCACGCGCTCGGGGCGCATGGCGGTTTTCTGCCCGCCGCGCGCTCGGGGCGCGCGGCGGTTTTCTGCCCGCCGTGCGCCCCGAGGCATGCGGCGGTTTCCTGCCTGCCGTGCGCCTGGGGAGCGCGCGGCGGTTTCGTGCTCCGTCTCGCGCGCTCCCCTCCGTCGCCCGTCGTGGCGCCCCCGGGGACTCGCGGGCTCCCCCCGTCATTCGTCGCGGCGCCCTCGGGGACTTGCGCGCTCCCCCACCCATCGTCCGTCGTGGCGCCCTCGGGCACCCGCGCGTCGCCCCCTCCCGTCGCCCATCGAGGCGCCCCGGGAGCCTGCGCGTCGCCCCCCTCCCGTCGCCCGTCGTGGCGCCCCGGGGGCCCGCGCGTCGCCCCCTACCGTCGCCCGTCGAGGCGCCCCAGGGACCAGCGCGCCGTCCCGCTTCCGCTCACCCGCTGCCCCATCTACTGCCCGCGTTTCTGCCCTGTGCCACCTGCGTTTGGGGTGTGGGGGTGGCGGGTATGGGGTTGGCGAGTGTGTGACCGTCCCCTGCTCCTCCTCCTCCTCCGTCTCCCACTGCTGCAGTTGCCGCTGAGGGGGGTGGGTGTGTGGGAGCCGAGGGAGTGGTGCTAGGGGGGTGACATGGGAGTGGAGCTAGGGGTGCAGCAAGGGGTGTGTGAAAGGGGGGTGGGACAGTCGGGGGAGGTTGAGCGGAGGTAGTCGTCGTGTCGCCAGCAGCGCCAGTAGTCTGGAGGCTACAATCTCCGGTAGTCGCCAGTCGCCCGTGGGTCAGTTGCTCCAGCCGCTCAACGTAGCCGCGGAGCCAGTTACTCCTGAAGTCCGGGCCATTGCTTCGGTAGCCACTGAGCCAGCCCCTCCTGTGTGTCTGCAGCTTCCGCCGTCGCCTCCCATCTCCTCTCCTCTCACAGTCCCTCCTCCTCCTCACTTACCCTCTGTGACTACCTCTAGTTTTGCTTGAACTTGTGAACCTGCTCTGTGACTGCTTGCTGTGCTGATTATACCCCACTTTCACTATGGGGGTGTGTTAAAATATTATATTTCTCTAGTCTGCAGTAGGGTACTCTATAGTGAGTACAGCCCTGTTAGGGTTTGCTATATGTACTCAACTGCCTGCTAGTGAAAACCCTCTCTCTTCTTCCATTTCTCTTTCGTGCACCCTAGATATGGCTACTAAGTTCTAGCTAGGATTCTGACACTTTAGGTCAACAACAAGGCCATGGTTGCCTTGTGTCGGGAGCAGAGGCTGAAGCACAGAACGAAGCACATTGCTCTTCGTTACTTTCTCGCACGAGAGCTGCATCAGCGTGGTCAGCTTTGCCTTGCTTACGTGGCCTCACAGGCCAACACTACTGATATCTTCACCAAGGCCATGGGGCCTAGTAATCAGGAGCGTTTCTGCATTTCTCTTGGGCATGTGCCCACTCTGTCTCACTTGCTTGTCTCTTGAAATTAACTTGCCCTTGTTGTTCACTGTTATATATCTTTATACCTGCCTGTTGACGCTTGCTAGGTTGTGATCAGTGTACTTCCATTGCTTTTATAACACTGCATGTAGACTGGCCTTGTGGCCGCTTGCTTGTGCTCAGACTGCGTGGTGATCGTGAGATTCACCCAATGCTTTGCTTTGTTTGCTTCTCTTGACTGGTCTTTTAACCACATGCTTGTTTCGGTTGGTTTGATGCATCTCACTCGAGCTATGTGGGTATGTCAAAGTTATATTGCATATGTTAGTTTAGCGAGTGAGTTTCCCCTTAGGGGTACAACATTTCTCTCGATACCCAATATGTACCCCCCTCCATTCCTTAGTAGACCATTCGTTCCTACCTATCTCAACATAAAAATCAGGGCACCCAAGCAAAATCGGGCTAACCTGTACATCTACACTTTTTCAAAAAGGTGAACAAAGAAAGTAGGCTTGCACAATCAGGGTAAACCCCAAAAAGCGGCTGCTGGTAAGTGTAATCAGCGGGTTTTCCCTTTGAAAAATAGGCCCTGTTTCTCAGAATAATCAGACTTCAGGGCATGTTCCTATCCTCGTATCAAGACAACCTCGTATCAGGCTCACACTGAAAATTCCCCCAAACCCAAAACCTCTCGCTAGTTTTACCAGGCAAAAAGTACATTCTTGATACGAGGTTTCCTGATATGAGGCCGCAGGAACACGTCTTCAGTATGGTTGTGTCTGTTGGAATACCATATGGTTATTATAGCATTCTCGAAGGCTTCCCTTAGTGCATCGTTTTATAATGAGGTAGCGCACCTGTACCACTATCGCGTAAGCTCGTATAGAGCATACGATAGCCTGGAAGCCACTCGAAGGTCAACAGTCGCAGGTAGTCAACGGTGGCGACTGTTGACCGCCCAATAAACATACTCGGAGGTTACATGATGCAACCTGGTAACTGTCAAGTAGAGCAATAGTCACGGTTACTGTAGCAATGCAATACAGTTAATAAGGGAATGTACCTCTCTCAGTACATGGCCAGCTGGAATCGTTATTTGAACTCTTTGTATCTCTATCTTTATCATCTTGTTCACTTTCTGTTGATATAACAAACAAGGTCCTAAAAGACTTCCCATTCTTCTTGTGAACATAGCCATTCTTGTCCCAATCCTTAGATTTTTTTTAAATATCAACAGCATCAGCCCACCTAACTCGATGACTCCATCTCAAATCAGAAACAGCGGAATTATTTCAGTAGCAAGGGGAGAATTACAAATACCTACCCTAGAAATGGGTTGTACTCCCTACAATGTTACTCAATAGCCTAACAAGCTAATATAACAATTGACACTTTTTGCCTAATCCAATGAAGGAGTTGATGTTGGGTGTTCTTTGAAGATGTTTGTTCAGAAGCTTTACACGCAGGTCAAGAGATACAGCAAGCTGTGAAAGCAGCACAGGATTTCAGCCAAAGAACAAGAAGGAAATTAGAACGACAAAACATCGTTAAGTTGTGCGATCACCACATCCATAGGTCCATCATCCAGCACCACAATATCAAATGACCTCTTATATAGCTCCAGCTGCCTCTCCACATCGTGGTTCAAGAACCCCACCGAGATCTGATTGCTGATGCTTACACCCTCCGACATCCCCAGGTCCCCCAGATGGTCTCCCAGCAGAATCACATTCGTCCTGCTCCGCACCTCCGCCACCTCCTCTGCAGCTGTGATTGTACCGGGTGTGACAGTATCAGCACCAGCCTCCCTATCAACACCTTGCGGAGCCATAGTCAGCACCTGGGTGTGGGAAGCTGGGTCTGTGTGTACAGCTGTAGTGGAGCCATTGCCGTGAGAGTGGGAATCAGCAGCTGCAGTGCCCTCCTCCAAGGCAGCGAGCTCCAAGGCGTGCTCATTCTTGTTCAACACATGGATGATGCGTCCTGCACAGCGCAAGGCAACACATGGCATGGCATGGCAAGGCAAGGCACATGTGAAGGTGGTAGAGGGGAAGGAGGAAGGGAAGGTTTCATAACGCAGCTCTGATGAGCGCTGGTCTCAAGTGCACAGCTTTTGAGGCGCCTCAAAAGACGGGCGCTGGTCTCAAGCGCAGGGCTGACGGGGCGTGCAACCAACACAGAGTGAGAGGGATTGGCATGTCGCACATGGCATGGGTTGAACGGGTGGAAAGGTGCAGAGGAGTGGTTTGAGTAGCTGGATCCAAAGAGAGCTCATTGCTGAAGCGCTCCGGATGAAGGAAAATTCAACAGCAAAGATCTTAGGCGGTTTTGTATCAACACACACACACACACTCGGACAAACAGGGTGCCCCTGCCATGCACAGAAGAATGACCACTTGCCTCTTTCCAGAGGCAACTCACCTGGGAAGGCGATGAGCCGTCCAGATTCATCGAACTGCATTCGGTTTGACACGACCCGCACGTTGGAGAAGGAGCGAGGAAGCTGCTGATGGAGCAGCTGCGGATGGGCGTCAGAGTGTGGTTAATGAGAGCAGGTGAGAGGGGCAGAGGGGGAGTTACAATAAGCTGCATTCTTCATTGCACACACAGCCATACACATCATACAGAAGGTGCTCGCCCAGACTTGGAATATAGCAAGCATGGCCTAAGATCGTGCAATGCAAGGCATGCATGGCCTAAGATCGTGCAATGCAAGGCATGCATGGCCTAAGATCGTGCAATGCAAGGCATGCATGGCCTAAGATCGTGCAATGCAAGGCACGCATGGCCTAAGATCGTGCAATGCAAGGCATGTCACCACCACAGGCATGTCCCACTCACACCTCCCATGGCATCCCACTCACACCTCCCATGGCAACCCACTCACACCTCCCATGGCATCCCACTCACACCTCCCATGGCATCCCACTCACACCTCCCATGGCATCCCACTCACACCTCCCATGGCATCCCACTCACACCTCCCATGGCAACCCACTCACACCTCCCATGGCATCCTACTCACACCTCCCATGGCATCCCACTCACACCTCCCATGGCATCCCACTCACACCTCCCATGGCATCCCACTCACACCTCCCATGGCATCTGCTCTGCACTACACTATCCGAGTCCATGCATGCCCTCCATTCGAAGCATGCCCTCCATTCCAAGCTTGCATGACCTCCATCTCAACCATGCCACCCATCCCACTCATGCCATGCTCTACCCTAATCCATGCATGCCATGCCATGCCATGCCATGCAACGCACCTCCTCAATGACGTCGGCCAGGCCAGCAGAGAAGATGAGCAGCGGCACGCCGTGAGCCTGTGAGGCACGCAAGCGGGCGGAGAGGGGGGGAAGGTGGAGATGCAGGAGGGAACCATGGGTGGTGGTAAGATGGGGACATGGTATAAGCGTGCACAAGCATGAATGAGTGTTGGCAGCGAGGCCGCCCCATTCACCTGCATGCTGGCATGGCACCGGTCAGCGCTGTTATCCGCTGTGCGAACGGAAGCATGGCGCCCAACAAACAGCACTACTGGCGTGCGTGGCGGGGTTGACACCCCCACTTGTCAATGCTTGCAGCAAGCCCGCCTACCCACTCACCCCCAGCACTGCCACTCAACCCCATCAACCTTCTCCATGCTTGCAGCAAGGCCACTCCACCCACTCACCTCCAGCAGAGCCAGCATGTCACAGAAGCCGTCACGGAAGGCGGTGTTGGCAGCGGCCACACTCTTAGTGACGTCAGCGCGGGTGATTCCACTCTCCAGCAGCAGATCGTGTGCGGCCGTCCACCTGCCATGTCAGGGCGGTGCAACGTGGTTGAGGTGAGGACCATGTGGTACAAAGCTGGTTGCAGTGTGGCCGTGGGGTAATTCCACTTTCCAGAGACAGCTCATGTGCAACAGCCCATATGCCCGTGTGCAGTGCTGCTAGCATGTGCAGTGCTGCTAGCATGTGCAGTGCTGCTAGCATGTGCAGTGCTGCTAGCATGTGCAGTGCTGCTAGCATGTGCAGTGCTGCTAGCATGTGCAGTGCTGCTAGCATGTGCAGTGCTGCTAGCATGTGCAGTGCTGCTAGCATGTGCAGTGCTGCTAGCGTGTGCAGTGCTGCGAGCGTGCGCAATCACAATGTGGTAACAACAATGAACCCACAGGCTGTGTATCCTTTATGACAAGCTGACCAGTGCTCTCCAACAACGGCCGTTGTGCTGCTTCCACTCATAATTAATCGGCTGTGAAGGCGTATGTGAGATGCGCTTAAGCAAGTGCATGCTTGACCTTTGTGGACCTCAGATACGCCTTGACAGCCGCTTTTCTGTGAGAGGCAGCAGCACAACGGCCGTTATTGGAGAGCATTGGTAAGCTTACCGTAGAGCGCACCCAGCACAATCACAAGGGTCCACCACGCGTCTTGCTGTGACTTTGGCAGCATCTGCCATGCCACCCCTCATGTGCTCCAACGCACGCGCTTTCCACGCACACACCACCCGTCCAGCAAAGCCAAGTCTGGTCGGGTGACCCGCCTTCTGTCTACCCCACCACTCCAGTCACTAACTTGTCAACCACTTCTTCACACCACCATACCGCCCTGTGCCTGGCTCCATAGGGAGGAGCTTCACTGCCACCTGCCTCTGCCTGCCCCGCCCTCCCATGCACTCACGAGCACACTACTCAGCCATGACTCTACTCGCCCCAGCATCCACCATGCCACCATGCATTTGAACTTCTGCTCATAGGGCATATGAGGGTCCGCCCCCAAAACAGGAACTTAGCTGCATGCCCATTGCCTGTACCCCATATTCCCATCCCATGACCCCACAACCAGCACCCACCATGCCACCATGCACTGGCGCCTCTGCTCATAAGGCACACTTGGCTTCGTCTCCACGGGCATGTATGTGGCTGCTAGCTGTATGCCCCTCGCCTCTACCTCGGGTCGGCCGCAGTACAGCAGCATGTGGCAGCCTTGCGAAGGGAGGGAGGTCCCAGGAAGGGCGAAGCATATTGCGGCCATTGAACTAAACAGCACCACCATTCCACGTCACCCATGCACTGCCCAATACGCAGCACGTGCCACCATGTGGCAGCCTCGTGGCAACCTTGGGGGAGGGGGAAAGGGCTCTACACATGCAACACACAGAGAGGCGTCAGTTGCGCCATGCCATGCCATGCACCTACAGGCAGCAGCAGCACGCACCACTCCACCATGCACTGAAACTTCTCCTCGAATGGCAAGTGCGGGTCCGTCTCCATGGGCAGGTACTTGGCTGTCAGCCGCCTGCCGCGCTCCTCCAGCTCCGGGTGCCGCAGGTTCAGCAGCATGTGGCAGCCTGGGCGCGGGAGGAGGGGGTTGAGCGGCAAGAGGGGGCGAAAGGGGAGAATATGTGGCACGCGAGAGGGATTTAGGTCCAAAAGAGGGGCGCGCGATAGCGAGAATGAGGCGAATGAGGTAGCGAGAATTCAGTGGCACATGGCTGCTGCCTTGCTCCTCCATCAACCTCGTCTTGCTGCCGGCCCCTCCTCTATACATGACTTATCCCCTCTGCCTCACCCTCTCTGACTCACCCTCTCGAATGGTCCTTTATTGATATAGGCAATGTGACACGGTAGGTACAGCGATCACAAGCACTTCCAGCACAAAATATTGTACTAGTCTACAGCGCAAGGGCCCCGCCCTCAAAGGTGTGGTGTGGTGTGCAGGGGCTCCCCGATGCCAAGGGGCTCCCCGATGCCAAGGGGCACCCCGATGCCAAGGGGTTCGGGGGGGAACGGGTTCACGGCAGTCGGTGCCGCCACAAAGGCGGCGTGGCGTGGGTCGTGGCGATCAGCGCATTCGCCTGGACCTGCTGCACTGCAGTGCGCATGACCAGTGCTGGCGATAGCTGTGAAGCAGCTTCGCTGCTTGATTCCCTCGAGGAGGGCTCTGCGTGGTGGAGTGTCTTGGCTGCCAGGTGCGCACAGAGGCGCGAGAACTCCAATAAGTATCGCCTGCCATGGCCTTGAACCCCTCCCACTCCCATCGGTCGCGCCACTTGAGCTCCTTCGCCCTGGCCGCTATCCGTACCGCCCAGCCACGCTGCGGGACGCTGTGGGGTCTTGGGTGGAAATTGGGTGTGTGTAACAAGACGGGATTCGCCATGCGAGCATGCATGGGAATCTCCGAAAGGGGAAGGTAGTGCTGCCTAGCTAACTTCGAATAGGGACAACTGCTTATCTCGGAGCACATCTTCCTATCCTCGTCATATTCCCCAATCCCCGTCATATCCTATATTCCAGCAGAGCATAGCATCGAGACGCTATGTTGAGATGCTATGCTAGATTGAGTAGCGACACGGTCTTCCTATCCGAGTCGCGCCTCACTTCTCCTAGCATAAATATCTCTCTCTAGCTTTTCTTGTATCATTCATCCTTGTATCTCTTGCTAATTTCAGAATCTCCTTCTTGATCTCACTTCTACGTCTCTTGGAGCTAGGCCTCCTCCCTCTCTAGCCTAGCTTCTCCCCCTTCCGCTGCAACGTTCTTCTCTTCTTCTAGCTACGGCGCCACCTTCGCCTTGGCAGGCTCGGCCAACCTCGCCTAACGTGGTTGCGCGCCGTAGCCTTGTTTCAGTGTGTGACAGTGACGGCACAGATCCACATAGCGCCAGAGTCGCGGTGGCGGATGGCTATGTGGGCCTTCAGTCCCTCCACGCAGGTGTACAGTGTCGGTCGCCTCCCGCTGCGCGGCCAAGCCCGAGTCGACCGCAAGTCTGAACTAATGCATTCGTCGCGCGTGGAGTGGTGTTTCCCTGTGCGCCCTTTCCCCGTTGCGCACCGCCGCAGGTGGTTAGGGAGCCTTGTGTCCAGTATTTCAGTTTCACTCACCCTTTCAGCCTCACCCTATCTCACTCAACCTCTCTGCCTCACCGTATCTGCCTCCCCTCTCTGCCTTACATCCCCACCTTACCCACACCTTCACTTCACACAATCCTAGCCTGTCCAGGCGCACATGCCCTGGCAAGCCCCGCACTCACTCTGGCCTGGCTTCCCGTTCACTGTGAACTTGGTGAGCGTGCGGTCGAAATCCGCTATCACCTGAACGGGAGGAGGGGAGAACGAGGGGGGAAAAGGGGGGATGAGGGGGAAAACGGGGGATGAGGGGGGAAAGGGAAAAAAAAGGCGGCATAATCAGGAACCCTTCGCGGACAAGCTCGTAGCATGCGGCACTGCGACTCAATTCAAGCTCACCTGCACTGTATCGCGCCCTGCTGCTCTCATCGCCTGCTTCTTCCGCTGCAGTTCCTCTATATCGCGTATAACCACACCCTTCGAAATCCCGCTCGTTACAGGCACACTGGATCCACCACTCGTGGCAGTTCCTCCTGAGCTACCCTTCACTGGCGAAAGCATGTTGACAGGCTCGGACAACAACACAGCAGGCTCGGATTCCGAACCACTTGGCTCGAAAGCTGATGCTGTATGTTCTGAACCAGCCGTGGCTGAGGGAAGCAGCGACGGAGCAGATCGTGCAGCAAGTGATCCGGATTTACGTACAATCTGGGTCCGATCCAAGCTTATTCGTTCCGAGACAAATCCCCCGGGATTGCAGGGGTCGGCGAGCCTGTGATGAGATGGCGCAGAGCTAATCGATCTCGACCGCTGCGCAGAGAAATAGTGCGAGAAAGCGATTTGCGATCGAGTTATCGGCGACGAAAGTACAGCGTGTAACGGAGATGCGCGAAACGGCCGCGCGAGAAGCGGGAGGGAGCAGCTCGTGACTGCCGGTTGGAGAGCTCGAGAGAGAGGTCCAGCCAAGCTACAGGTGAGTGGCGACGACCGTGGAATGGGCGGGCGATGGCAGGAGGCCATGGCTCGTGCGAGATGGCGACATGAGGGAAGGCGCTGCGATAGGCAATCAGGCATGCAGCGAGCAGGCTTGCGTTCCGAAGAGGCTTGCGTAATACCTCGCGGAGAAAATGCGTGCCAAGGGGACAAAGACTTCGTGTTTCGATATCGTTTTTGAGAAAGCCGTGATTTTCCTTCCTGTGACCTCATCTTCAACAAATCGTGGCGACGGGTAGATTAGCGACAGGTAACTACACTGCAACTAGTTGCCGTTCGATGTACTTCAATGTTTTTGTAAGGAAAAATCCTTTTCCTTACTTCGCGTCCCCGCTCAGCGCGTACACCACAGTAGCACCACAGTCGGCACCGTTACCACTCGCATCCCTCGCATCGACAATCCTCCCGCCACCTTCGCACATCGCACCCCGACCTCACGGCTCGGCGGGTAACCCGCGCTCCGGGCCTCCGCTTCGACATTTCCCCTAACCTCAGTCCCAGGCCCGTCGCGCGACAACCACAGTCCATTACCGTTACCACTGTAGTTTCGCTATATATTCTTCGCTCATGCCTTCGCTCGTTGTACTCTTGCTTCGATAGTGCAATTCTCGCTCGATCACTCAATTGCACTCGTAACACTTCGTATTCAGAGCCTACGATCTCTTCTCGGACCGCACCCGCACTTTCGCTTCCCCACTATCTCAATTTTTTGGGGGGAGGGTAGACGTCTCTCAGCGACACAGCGCCGCCGCTCGTAGTGCTCTCTCGTAAGCACGCACGGCCACGACAGAGGCCCTCGCTGAGCTTGCCCGACACCCCCACCATGGCCGAATTTACTCTCGCGACACTGACGCAGGAGCAACTCGACCGTCTCGTACGCCAAGTTGAAGAATCGGCGCTCGAAATTGCGATGCTCACGGCGGAACGTGACTCCGCGCGTCAGCAATCTACGGTGAATACTCCGGCGCCACCACACGCACCTGCAAATGCACCTGCACAATTGGAGGAGCCGATCGTCATTTCATCAGGCACACCAACACGGAACGACAGCGTGGGATAGCGCTCAGGCGCAGCCAGTGATGGCGCCGCCCAACCGATGCCGGGCATGGGGAGAAACAGGGTCGCGCCAAGCCCGCGGGAGCCTCGTGAAGCCCGTCGGCACGTGGAGTTCACGGCAACAAGTGGCGATCAGGCCATCATGGCACCGATGCCACTCAAGCCGCAGTGCCTGCCCTGTTTCGACCCAAGTCAGCGTGGAGGTCCAACGGTTCATTCGTGGGTCTTCACGATGAACGTATTTTTCGACGCAAACTACGTCTGTTGAACTATATTTATATATGTTCTTTATAATTGTCTGTAGTGTAGAGTGCAACACATCCCAATTTGCTGTAGGTGGTGCACCATGCTTCTCCTTGCTATATCTTGTACTCATCTTCTTAGTGAAGCAACTTTTCTTCTTCCTAAACTCTCTCGACATCTCTCTTCAACCCCAAAACCTAAGCTCCTAAGCCACTCTAGCCATGGCTCCTAACCACAACTAGCTTAGTATCTTGACATGGTATCAGAGCTGTTACGCTCTTGGCCTGTGGGCCCCACGTGCTTCCGCTGCTTTCGTGTCTATCGCGCGCCCCGTGGCGCGCGACGCTTTTTTCTTCCCGCCACGCGCTCGGGGCGCGTGGCGGTTTTCTGCCCGCCGTGCGCCCCGAGGCGCGTGGCGGCTTCTTGCTTCACGCGCCACCCCGGGGACCCGCGCGTCCCCCCCCGTCGACAGTCGCGTCGCCCCCCGGGAGCCTGTCGCGTCGTCCCGCAACCCCCGCTATCCCGTCCCGGCACCCTGGGAAGCCGCGCGCGGCCCCCGTTGCCTCGTCGCGACGCCCCTGCGGGACCCGCGCGGCGTCGCCCCTGCTTGTCGCGCCGCCCCCTGGACGCCGCCCCTGCTCGTCGCGGCGCCCCTTGGGCGCCGTCCCTGCTCGTCGCGGCGCACCCACCCCTGGCCGCCGCCTCTGCCTCACCTGCGCCCGGGACTGCTTTGCAGCAGCGCGCGGGCCTGCCCTGCACTAGTGACGCCGCCCCTGGAGCAGCCGCCCCTGGACCCAGAGCAGCCGCCCCTGCAGCAGCCGCCCCTGGCCCCTGGAGCAGCCGCCCCTGGCCCCTGGAGCAGCCGCCCCTGGCCCCTGGAGCAGCCGCCCCTGGCCCCTGGAGCAACCGCCCCTGGAGCAGCCGCCCCTGGCCCCTGGAGCAACCGCCCCTGTAGCAGCCTCACCTGCGCCTGCCCTCGAGCGGCTGCCCCCGCGTCTGCCCTCGTGCAGCCGCCCCAGCCTCACCCGCGCTTGCCCTCGTGCAGCCGCCCCTGCCTCACCTACGCATGCCCTCGTGCAGCCGCCCCTGCCTCACCCGTGCCTGCCCTCGTGCAGCCGTGGGGGGGAGGGTATGGGGGTGGCGAATGTGGGGGTGATGAGTGTGGGTGCTACCCTTCCCCTCCTCCTCCTCCTTCTTCGTCTCCCACTGCTGCAGCTGCTGCTGAACGGGGGTGGATGTGTGGGAGCCGAGGGGAGTGGAGCCAAGGGGGATTGGAGACAGGGGTGCAGCAAGGGGGTGTGTGAGAAGGGGGTGTAGGACTATTAGGGGAAGTCGAGCGGAGGTCGCCGTCGTGTCGTCAGCAGCGCCAGTAGGCCGCAGCCCTCGAGCTCTCGGTAGCCCAGCGAGCCTGCTTCGCCAGTCGCCTGTGGGTCCGTTGCTCCTGCCGCTCGTCGTAGCCGCGGAGCCAGATACTCCCGTAGTCCGGTGCCCTCGTGCGCTCGGTAGCCACTGTGCGCGCCGCTCCTGTTTCCCGTGTGACTGCGGCTTCACCTGTCGCCTCCTATCTCCACTCCTCTCACAGTCCCTCCTCCTCCTCACTTCGTCTCTTCTTCGGCTGCGCCCTGCAGGGTGTACCACTTCAGGGGTTGTTCTGTACATGGATCTCACTACAATCAATTAGGGGGTGTGTTGAACTATATTCATATATGTTCTTTATAATTGTCTGCAGTGTAGAGTGCAGCACATCCCAATTTGCTGTAGGTGGTGCACCATGCTTCTCCTTGCTATATCTTGTACTCATCTTTCTTAGTGAAGCAACTTTTCTTCTTCCTAAACTCTCTCAACATCTCTCTTCAACCCCAAAACCTAAGCTCCTAAGCCACTCTAGCCATGGCTCCTAAGCACAACTAGCTTAGTATCTTGACAGCGTCGAGTCGTGTCAGAACATTATAGCTTATGCTTTTGTGTAGGCTGTAGTGGGGTAGCCCATATGGGGTACAACCCAATTAGGGTTAGTACTTGTACCCAACTGTTTCATAGTTCATTCATTCTCGTTCTCATTTTCTCATGGTATCGAGCAGGTTCCCCTGTGGGAACTGTGCCTAGGGCCCACCAAATTTCGAATTTTTTTCCTGCCCGAAGTGCGCACCGCCCGAGTCGCGCTCTCACCTCGTCGAGCCGCCCTAGCGGCCCCTATGCCCTAGCGGCCCTCCCTACCTTAGCGGCCCCGTCGCCCGTTCGTGCGGCCCCGCCACCTACTAGCGTGGCCCCGCCACCCGCATTCGCGGCCCCGCCACCCTACGTCGCGACCCCGCCGCCCTACGTCGCGACCCCGCCGCCCTAACTGCGGCCTCGCCGCCCTACTCCTGCGGCCCCGACGCCCTACTTCGCGGCCCCGCCGCTCTACGTCGCGGCCCCGCCGCCCTGTTCAGCGGCCCCGCCGCCCCACTTCGCGGCCCCGCAGCCCCACTTCGCGGCCCCGCCGCCCTGCTTCAGCGGCCCCGCCGCTCGTCTGCTGCGGCCCCGCCGCCCCACTTCGCGGCCCCGCCGCCCTTCTTCAGCGGCCCCGCCGCCCGTCTGCTGCGGCCCCGCCGCCCCACTTCGCGGCCCCGCCGCCCCACTTCGCGGCCCCGCCGCCCCACTTCGCGGCCCCGCCGCCCTACTTCAACGGGCCCCGCCGCCCTACTTCAGCGGCCCCGCCGCCCTACGTCTGCGGCCCCGCCGCCCGTCTGCTGCGGCCCCGCCGCCCTACACCTGCGGCCCCGCCGCCCTACTTCAAGGGCCCCGCCGCCCTACTTCAAGGGCCCCGCCGCCCTACTTCACCGGCCCCGCCGCCCTACGTCAACGGGTCCCGCCGCCCGTCTGCTGCGGCCCCGCCGCTCTCCCCTCGTGCAGCAACGTGCCCGAGACGCAGACCGCCGCGCCGCCCTGTACCAGAGGAGCCGAGCCGCCCTGCCGCCGAGCCGCCCGGCCGCCCACCAGCCGAGCCGCCGTGCAGCCGAGCCGCCGAGCCGCCGAGCCGCCGAGCCGCCGAGCAGCCGAGCCGCCCAGCAGCCGAGCCGCCCCGCCGCCGAGCCGCCCTACAGTTGAGCCGCCCGAGCAGCCCTGTCCGGTGAGCACAGCCTCTCTGTCACTGC